TTTAGAATCTAACATCTAAAGGTTTATTCATAAAAAGAAAGCAAAGGTTGAGAATAGGAATGTTAAAGAAAACACAATTCCATACATCAATCACCAAGTTCTTGATGCAGGCTCTTAGCAGAGATGTAACAAACTGCTAGCTTAAAAGTCTCTGGAGTACATCCTATGTTAGGATGGGTCAACAAATCCTTCCTGGCCCTCTGTCCATAGCAAGCATGCTTCTGAAGTCAAGAGCAGGATTGAAGACAAAGATGGAGGCACCCTCAGGATTCTTTTATAATCTTGCCCATGTGGAGGGAAATCCAGTTTGGGAGATACCCTGAGTGATGGTATCTCCCAAACTAGAGCTGATCACATGATCAAGTGATTGTCCATGTCCTTTAGGCAAGCAGCCATGGGATACTGGCTGGTCTGCAGGTTCCCAGCAGCATTCCTCAGGTGTTTATTGGGAACTCTTGAGAACCATTGTCCGCATCATTGCTATGTAGCATGGCTATTCACTGAATAACCATTCCTCATGATAGGTGGTCCACGTCTATTGCTGTCTCCCAGACAGAGAACATTTAAAATATAAGTACAGAACCCATATCCATAACTTTACATATACAAATCATATAAGTATATGAGAGGAGTACATAGAATCAGCATAGCTTAGGCTTTCATTAGACACCTCACTTGGCCCACTTTGCACAGAATTTGGGGCAAACACACACCAGTGGGTGCAACATTGATCTGCATTTTTCTAATAAAATCCAATAACGTGACAGCTTGCATAGCTCCTGCCTTCATTACACATTAGTGTCATGTTTGCATACAAACACACATGAAATACAAAAGAAAGAAACCTATCGGGTCACAATCACACTAGAATCAGAACTACTTTGAGGCTTAGCCAACCTCTAACACAGCGATGGGCTACCTAGGCTAGTGAGTGGGCCTCATGTGTGGTCTTCCTTCATTTCAGTGGCCGCAAAATTGTCATGACCAAGATAGTGTCCTGGGACAGGGTAGTTTTGCTAACTCTGCTTGTATATCTAGAATTTGTGGGATGTGCTGACTGAACCACAGCAGCGCTGTGACTGGCTACAGAGGGACCGCACAGCTCTCACAGTCAATGTTGTGTGCAATCAGCACACACTGCACTCCATGTGCCCTTGCTTTACAAGTGTGTCACTTTAGTAATACCAGTAGGAAAAACTGACACAAACGGAAACCAGTAGAATCTGGCAACCCTGCATGTGGGCAACAGTAAACAAAAAGTCTCAAGGGCCACACACAGAACCTTGATGGGCTGCATGTGACCTACAGGCCACAGGTTGCCCATCAGTAACAACTTCAAAGGACCCTCTGTATTGCTAAAGGCATTTGAATTCCAAGGGAACACACTAGGGACCTCTCAGCCTGTACTGTATGGTGATGTAAATACTTCAGAGGGGTGGCTGAGTTAGTCTGTAACTAGAAAAACTTAAAAAACAACAAATAGTCTTGCAGCACCTTAGAGACTAACAAAACATGTAGATGGTATCGTGAGCTTTCGTGGGCACAACCCACTTCTTCAAATGAATGGGTAAATACTGCCACTGTTGCCAGAAGAGGTGGGAGGGAAGAGGTGCAGCACAACATTAAGCCAGTGGCGTTAGCTGACTCTTCTTCCCTTTGTGTGTCTTTGAGTTTGCCTCACGCTAAATGACGTGACTCATCTCTTCAGATATACTAGCAAAGCACAAAGGCAGTTACAGAGAGACACATACATGGTGTCAATCTAACCTACTATCCTATCTCTGACAGCGGACAGTGCCGGAGACTTCCGAGGAAAGTGTAGGAATCCCTCAGCTGTCAGGTGTGAGATCATCAGTCCCCCATGTTAAGTGTCATCTCTAATATGATCACTCATATTTTTAGTGTGTCTAGGTGACTCCACTAGGAGTAGGGAAACAAAGAACTGGTCTTATTTTGACATTAATTCCTGATATGCATTGTCAGAGAGCCCCCCCATGATTTATGAAAATTGGCTTATGGATATGAATATGCATAATTTGAAGATGCTTTAGACAAAATACCTCACGTAACATATAAATTTTAACGTTACAATCTGCTAAATGTATATATTATATTTTTATGCATGTAACATTCTTGTATGTGAAGTTAGACATAGGAAGTATGGACCTGTTTATAATTCTATATATACTAATGAGAGCCATTACTGCTGGTTCTGAAACTTAATGGCTCCATGATCAAGCCAATGACCCATGAATGGTTTTATTCTTTCTGAAAGCCCAGACTGTAGTTGGTCTTAGAAAGACATGGTTAATGCTGAAACCTATTTTTGGATCTGGTACCGTACTTTTCCACTCATGGTCAGAAAAATTTAAACTGAGCACAAAGAATTCCTGCCTTGCACAAAAGGGATATGTGTGTGGAGTGGGGAGGAGGGGAGAATAGAGCAGTTGCCACATTCTAGGATACTCCCCACCTCTTACCACCAAAGATGTCTGCAGAAAACATTGAAGTCTGAACAGGGGGAAGGATTAGGTCCAAGTTAGGAGGTTGCTTAGCTTGTGAAAGAGATGTTTAGAGCAACTGTTTGTGTAAGCATTTGCATAAAACCAGTTTCTTAGTGGAATAGGATTAGCTGGCATTATTTTGTTTTAACTCAGGAATTTATTTTGATCAGACTGTTTTCACTTGCAATCACATAAATCCTACTTTTTATACTTAATCAAATATTTTTGCTTACTATCAAGCCCAGTATAAATAATTGTTACCTGGGGGGAACACCTACCATGTATAACTCTCTTTATTGATAGAGTGAACTTATAAGGTTTCTCTGGGCTCATCTAGACTATGCTAAAGTTTTTGAGGAAAAGCGGCTTTTTGAAAAAGGGGGTGGTTGCCGAAAAAAACGCATCCAGATTACTTTCACTTTCGAAAGCAGAGCTACATTTTAAATACACGTAGATGCCTTATTATGAAAAACACACCCAGCTCACAGAAGCGATACAGAATGCAGGACAATGTAGCACTTTAAAGACTAACAAGATGGTTTATTAGATGATGAGCTTTCGTGGGCCAGACCCACTTCCTCAGATCAAATCATAGAAGCGATACAGTGTTTCTGTATGGCTGATAAAGGTGGCTTTCTGTATGCCATTTCAAAAGTGAGATTGGAAGAAGATTTGCAAATTCCCACTGAATTTGTATATCCTCTTTTAACACTTTAGCATAGTCTAGATGAGCCCTATATATACAAGTTTTACACAGAGCAGGATGGATTTATTTGGGATTTTGGTCCCTTTTGGAGGTTGGTTTCCTGGGTGCTGAGCCCTCTCAGACCTGGTTCAGTGTCTGTATTGCAATGCAGGGGGTGGGGGTAGTAACCCCAACTCTGTGCCTTGTGGGAGACAGCAAAGGATCTGGCCAAGCAGAGCAGGGTGGTGGGGTGCCCCAGAGGTCAGGAAGGCAGATGTCAGTGGCATGATCAGCACACTGGGGGACAGCCCCAAGGAGACTTCAGTGATCTAACTCATCACATGTACCGCTACAAGAGAGAGGAGAATCAGGTCCTGTGCTGTATTATGCCAAGCGGCACCTTGCCATGCAGTTGAAAGGCAATGACAACCAGCCAAGTGTTAATATCTCTTAGGATATTATTTGTGTTTCCATAGTTCAGTATATTTGGTCCTAATGTGCATTTTATTAGACACTTTTTGGGGACATTTTAGCTTCTGAAGCTTTCATTCATTTTCAGATCTATTTTAAATACATGTAGATGCCTTATTATGAAAAACACACCCAGCTCATAGAAGCGATACAGTGTTTCTGTATGGCTGATAAAGGTGGCTTTTCGTTGTAACCCCAAACTGCCATTTCCAATGTGACAGTCACATCAGTGGAAAAGTCAGCTCGGCTCAATAAATTCTATGAAGTCTGTCTGACACTGATGCTCCCTGATAAGGCAGACTCAAGACAAGACAGGCCTGTCAAGTGTGCTAGGCCAGCCAGCCAGTTCCTCATCTCATCCGGATGAAATCAGGTGAAATGGTCTCACGCATGACAAGGGATGTCCAGGAATATGAGCTTTGGTAAAGTTCTTCTTTGACCTTTTACTTCTGACTCTCAGTGACCTGTTGGTTCTCCAGGTTCCTAAATAAATAACCAATTTTCTTTAATATAGTCATATAGCTCTATGGTGCAAATGTACAATTCCACAACACACAGACAAACCTGCACAAGACACAATGCTCACACAGAGACCAACATCCACAGAGATTCCTGCTTTCTCACACACATTACACAGGCAAACATACTTGCACATAGGCCCATGTAGTCCCAGATGAAAAGACCCTGTTACAGACAGAAGCAGAGAGAGAGAGATGTGTTGTTTACCCAAAGAGAAATAGAGAAATCACGCCTTACACACACACATACCCAGAGGCAAACTCTCCCATAAACATATTCACACATCACACACTGCAGATGCACATAGACACACGCTAACAATCTATCTTCATACAGCTTATACACAGGCAGAGACATGCACACTCATAAACATATATACCCTTTTGTCTAGTATCAGGTGTGTACTGGCTAGAAAATGCTTTTGTTTTAGCTAATAGACAAATAATTCATAAATAATTTTTTCACCAAATAAAAGTCCAGGACTTTTGTAAGAACTCATTATGCAGGCCCATTATTAATGTTTTCCAACCACCCCTTGTTCAGGAATCAAACTTTCTCTTTAAAATCCTGTCATGTTAAAAATTGACAAGTGTTGATTTTGGCCAGTGAAAAGCCGAGCGCAGGTTGTAGGTAGGAACTCTGTATGTTTAGTCTGGCTTACACTTTATTTTTTCCTTTCATCAAATTAGTTCAGCTGTATTTTTTTAAAAAGAAAAAAGAAAAACTATTTGACAATCTGAGGCTCTGGGTTAAAATTGCAGAGTTTCTTTAAAACAACAAAAATAGCTTAAAAATGTAACACATTTTTGTGTGTATGTCAGGGCAAGAATGGAGCTTCACCAGCCATGTTAGCAGCAGCACTGCATGTAAACATGCCTTTGCAGGTGAGTGCAAGAGGCTTCATTTATAATTTCAGAATTCTTTGTGTTTCTTTAATTTATTCCAGTTTAGGTAATTACATTCTGCCTCCCTAAAATCATTCCTTCTGCAGTGTTGATTGGATCCAGGATTCCTCTTCACTCTCTGTCTTAAAATCTTGAGTAGCAGTGCTATACACTGTTAAACACCAGATAGGGTCCACGCTAGAGTGGACTGCATTTCAGATTAAAAGATCTGCATAAAGCCTGGAAAGTGTAGAATGTGCAACAGGAGTTTGCTGCCCATCTTCTATTTAGGTGCTAACTTCCACTGATTTCAACAGAAGTTAGGTGCCTAAATAGAAGTTAGCAGGCAAATTCCTCCTGAGCATTCAACCCAAGAGTTCTTTGGAATTCCTGGTGTTCCTGTCCAAGCACATGTAGTAGTAAAGATCCCATTTCCTCCTCCGGCTCTACTCCATCCAGCTATCAATCCATCTCATAAAATCATAGAATCATAAGGTTGGAAGAAACCTCAGGAGATCATTGGGTCCAACCCCCTGCTAAAAGCAGGACCAATCCCAACTAAATTGTGTCATGTTGTGAACCACTGTAGTACCTGACCCCACAGTGTCACAGACTGGATGAAGTAAACAGTAGAGGGGTACTTCATTATTTGACTCTATGAATCTGAGCTCCAGCTCAGCACGGCATGTAAGTATGTGCCCAGTGAGACTATTCACGTGTTTAAAGTTTGGTGCCTTGCTGAAATAGGGCCACAGATGCTATGAAATCCTTTCCCCCGGCTACACAAGTAAATTTCCACTGATAAGTATTACATTTTACTAAATAAGTCTGTCAGAGAAGGGCCCCACCTGCAAAATTGGGAGGTGATGTTTGAACACCCCAGAGTTGAGGGTGTTTGGCTCCTAGCCCATCTTTAATATTAAATACTGTAGTGAGCTAATAATATAAAAGAGAGACTTCAGCGTCTTGCTTTACATGCATTAATGCTATTACTGAAAGCCTGGTATCAACAGATCCTTAATATTCATAGAAGACTGACTTGTGCTTTACAGTCATTAGACTCCTCTAACAGTTTCATGAATCATGCAGTGAGATGTACAGCACGTTCCCCATGCAAGACTGACCATGTCACTGAAGGCTGGTAGGGTACAGGCCACTGTTTCAGAGCCAAACGGAGTTGAGTTTATGAGACTTCAGGAAATTAATAACAAGCTCATGTCATCATCTTGCCTTTTTCAAATTGAATCCCTCTGTGCTGTGATCAGGGTAGATGAGAGATTCCATCACAGAAACCAGAAATGGAAATTATAATGGAAAACCCCAAAGAGTATATGACCTTGGAAGGAGAGTCAGGCTAGAATTCAAATGCTGCCTGCTTCTAGTCCATGTAATCACAGGAACATGTATATGCCCAGACAAACCCATTAGGCCATAGCCCAAGGACAAGAGCAAGATGCAGGGTTTTAGGTGTTTGATCAGAAACTCCAAACAAGGAAGAGGACAAAAATAGCCAGGGCAGGGTGTGGAAGTATTGTATTTCTGTAGTCCCCGTTTATTCCACAATGCTTCACAGATTGTACAGAACAGAGGGGTTGTTCCACACACCTTTAAAAGGCAGCCACTGTGTGTGACAGCAACATGATACAACATGCAGGATAGGAAATGACAAATCCCATGTTGGCTTAAAGTTACAGGGCAGAAGTTAGACAGGGAGGCAATTACCCAAAATGGAGATTGGCCAGGAGGGCATTGGGGAAAGACACTTTCTCTTACAAAAAATGCCATGGAATCCAGATTGAGATGCCTTGATTTTGTAACTCATCTTAACCAATGACAGTCCTTACTTCAGTACAATTCTCTTAACCCCATGGTGGTGTATTAGGCTAAGAGTAGTGGTTCAGAGGGAGGATTTTTACGTGCCAGCATATTATAGGGCAGCAAACATCCTTCCATCTGGTGTGACCTGCACAATGCATATATTCCTAGGTGATGGCTGGATAGGCCTAGGCCTCTCCATATGTATATTTCTGGTATTAAGCAGGCTTTAATAGTCGGTCCTGCAATGTTTGCTTCTTCCTTACTCCAGGCTGCACGATGTTACACAATACCAGCAATGCTGCTTTGGGACTCCAGGCCATCATTTTCATGGAATATTTCTGAGTTGGAAATACCCTTCCTGACAGTAAGGTGAAGACTGTGTTGAACAGGTAAGAAAGTTAATGCAACAAATCAGTGGCCTCCTGGGACTTTAACAGCCCCAGCCCAGCGTGAGAGATCAGGTCTTCCTGCTCCAAAAGGGCAAACCTCCTGCTACTTGAACTAGAGGAGACTCTCCATTAGCTGCGAGCTATATAAGGCCTACGTGCACTGTCAAATGGCTCTAACCCTGTCTTGCAGAGGTCAGAGGTACATACCTGCACTACACAGTTTGTTGACATTGTCCCTTCCCTAGACACAGTGAACAAGCCGTGTCAGGCCTCTTCTGATCAACTGTGTTGTGGAAAGTGGCTTCATTTTCCGGTCTGGTGTTCCCTGTGCCTCAGAAACATTCTTGCACTGAATGTCTACAAGGCCATCCCATAGGAGATATGGAGCCTGTGTCTAGACATGATCTGGGCTGCTCCCTCCCTCTCCCCCAGCTTTCAGTGTCCTCTGTTATCTTCTGTGTGCAGCCGAGTCACAGACTCTCTGACTTCCCACTGGGTTAGCCATCCCTTTAAGGTTTGCAAGACATTTTGGAATGGGGCAGTCAGACCTTCACTTGGCCCTCTCTCCCCATCCTGTGGGCTCCTACACTGGTCAGTGTACTCTGAGATCACAGTACTGGCACCCCAGTGCCAGTGCGTCAGCTGTCTGTCCAGAGCCAAGACAGGTGTGTTTCTTCCCCTGTCAAACTACGGCTGTTGTGGGATGCCAGTTTCCTGATGAAGCTGTAATTAAAGTCAGATTGTACCCTCAGGGAGTGGGTGGTGAGTGAGATTTGGCACCAAGGCTTTTAATTTCTGCAATTCTGAGTTCCATTTGGAAAGTTCTGGCCAGGCAGTGCACCGATCTGCATGAAGAGAGAGTCCCTTATGGGAGGGTGGAAGGGAGGGGAGAGTTGAAATATTTTCTAACAGCTACTTTTGTAACATTAGTAAAATCAAAGCAAAGCATGTCAAAATTCCCATTAAGACACGTTTAACTTCCCTTATTTCAAGACAAAGTATCTTTGCCTGGAGGCAGGTTTTGAGCTTGCTGCTAAGGCCAGGAGAGACTATTGCATTACAGGGCAGAACAGAGCCCAAATCATCTCTCTTAAGGGGTAAGGCCTTTTCTAATCAGGATCAGCTTAATTCTGTCATCTGAATTATTAGTCTTGCCCCATCGGCTGCTTGGGGAGGAAGGGGCGGGGGGAGGAGAACAATTGTTATGGAGACAAGGGTAGAAAGAGAGACAGACCAACTTGTGATGTGATTACAGTGCTGTGTGAACAATGGAACACTACACACGCTATTTGGGGGTTTCCCCTGGCTTTTTGGAAATGCCATATTTAGCCCTGACACTTTGTACCTCCCAGAATTTATGGTCCAAGGATCTCAGATGGTTTATAAATGTAAATTAAGCTTCACAATGCAGCTCTGAGATGGACAGGTGTTATGATCAAGGTTTTACAGACAGGGAAACCAAGGCACAAAACACTTCCCATACGACTATCCCAAAGTCAGACAAGGACTCCATGGCAGAGATTACTGGAAATAGAAACCAGGATTGCAGGCTTCCAAGCCTGTGTGATGACCACTAGATAGCACTGTCCTTTTGCCCACAAAAGCTCATGGTGCTCTCTCTCTCTCTCTCTCTTTCTCTCTCTCTCTCTCTATATATATATTAGACTCTAAGGTGCCACGGGACTACTGGTTGTTTTTCAATAGGCTCAGTGTCACAGCTGTGAAATACAGTCTCCTGGCAACACCATCAGGTTGTATACGCAAAATGAATCCTTCATTAACTAATGTAGACAGCAAAATCTCCCTTTTCTGCTGGCGAAACCCAGCACCTCTATATCCTGGCTTGTATGTCATCAAAGGGCTGTTTTCAGACTACCACCTCCAAGCTGTAAAATGGATTTTGCATGTGTGAGGGAAAACTCCAGACCAATGTCTTCTTTACTGTTGTTGCTTTATTTTATTTTAAAATTGTCACCATGTTTGTCAATGCATACTAAGGGTCCAGTCCTGAGAAGTTCAATGCCTGCGCTAAACGTCACAAACATTCACTTCAAGAAGACTGTCTGCTATTTGCAGGAGGCACTGTATCTTCCTATCTGTGCCAGGAGCACACTTTGGATAACAGTAAAAGATGATAACAGTAAATTCCTGTTTTATTATAGACCTAAGAGTATATTGGACATTGATTCTGCTGTTGGTGTGGTAGGAATTACCAGTTGTAGTAAGGATGATCTTGTGGCTAAAGGAACTTGCTTCCTAAACCTAACTCTCTCTGGCACTAGGCAAGTTACTTATGACAATGTTTTAAAGCACAGCTGCCAAAATTTAGTGATCCATATGGAGGCACCAAGGGAAGTGGTCTTGTTTTTCAGAGGTCCTGTACATACACAGATCCATCCACCAAGACAGTCAATTCAGGAGCCTCAATGTTGGAAACGGGGTTTCCCAAAATAAGGGGGATGCCATGTGAAAATTAAATGTTGGCCACCTTTGCAAAAGTAGCTTCTGATCTGGGTGTCCCACTTTCTAACATCAGTATGTGATACTGACCTGTCCAGCTCTAGGCACCGAAAAGCAGAGAAACCTCAAATTGTGACACTTGGTTGGTTAGTGATTGATATATAGAGACTGAGATTCAAGTTAGAGAGATGCAGCAAAAAGATTAGACTAAGATTCACAGCAGGAGGGGAGGATACTAATGCATTTGATTTGGTACAGGATAAACCATTCCTTGGAAAACTGTCTAGAAAAAGCTCTGCTCATATATCTGCGTGTGATTAGCCAAGAGGAATCAGTTTACCGTGAATACTACAAAACAAAGAATTCTGGGAGCAATGAGTCCAGACAGAACTACAGAGCGGGGCAGGCTGGGAATCTGACCTTAATCATAGAATCATAGAACCATAGAGCTGGAAGAGACCTCAGACGGTCATCAAGTCCAGCCCCCTGCTCTAGGCAGGACCAATCCCAACTAAATCAACCCGGCCAGGGCTTTGTCAAGCCGAGACTTAAACACCTCTAGGGATGGAGACTCCACTACTTCCCTAGATAACCCATTCCAGTGCTACACCACCCTCCTAGTGAAATAGTTTTTCCTAATATCCAACCTGGACCTCTCCCACCACAACTTGAGACCATTGCTCCTTGTTCTGCCATCTGTCACTACTGAGAACAGTCTTTCTCCATCCTCTTTGGAACCTCCCTTCA